TACCAGTGGTTACAAGTCAGCCATTTGAAAAAGTGAAACAGGAGTGTTGTTAATGTTGAAGTTAATGCCTGGTTTCCTATTTTCTGTATGTCTATATTCTTCTCTTTCCCTCCCTTTCCCTGTCTTTTCACTTTTGTTTCTAGATCTCATGTTTATTAGGAAATACGAGGAAAAGTGTACATGCAAAAATTTTGCCAGAAGCCAGTCTCTTGGCAGAAACGATGAATAGATCCAATGGAGTGGGCATGTCTTTTTCGATTTTGTATTCCTCTGGGCCAGAGAAATAGCTCAGTTTTGCTTGTTGAGCACTAAGTGCATGGACATTGGAAGCACCTGTATTCTAAGTGACTTTTTCTGTAGCTGTAGGTACTTCCCATTGCTTGATTTAAAAATAAAAAAAAATCAAAGTCTCAAATATACAGTTGCGGTCTGTCTTAATTTTATTTTCATCATGTTGCTAACAGTGGCAATTTATAAATATATAAATAATATATACTTAATATATAATATATATTTAATATATATTTATTTTATATATTATATATAAATAATATATATACAAATAAAAAAGCCACCTTTTTGTAGGCTACCATAGCCTTTCTATTATTGCTTATAAATATTTTTCTAAGTCTTTCCTGAGGTGGTGTTTCTGTAGACTGGCAGTTCTACTTTTTGTACTTGTTACTAAATGATGAAGATCATTGCTGTGTTTCTCAATCATCAGGTTAATGTTTTCCTCGTGTTTCTTTGGACCTTTTTTGTTTTTCTGTCATTCATGAGATACTTAACTGCATATATTCTAGAATACAGGCATATACATGGGAATTTTGTGCCCTTCTCTCTTCTGCAACTGCTGTGTGTGGGTTTCTGGTTTGGTTTGGTTTTGGTTTTGGGGAGTGTTTTTGCCTAACACAGTGAATATTTAATATAAGACCACACCTTCCTGCCTCTAGGAGTCTTCCAGTTTATCATCTGGTTTTCACCATTCTTATGTATAGACTAGGAAAACCAGGCAGTTCAGTGGAATAGGAGTACTCACCAACCTGATTGTTTGGCCAGGTGTCTAGTCATTGTTATATTGCTTCGTACTTCATATCATGTTTTTTTGTTGTTTTTTTTTTTTTCCGTTTGGTTTTTCTTCTGCTTGGTTAGAGACACTATCCTACGAAAAGCTAAAACCTGTGTCCTTTCTGGCCTGCGACTGTGACATTCATGCCTGTTGTGACCTATTCATATAGTTTTTCTTAAAAACCTATATGAGCATGCTCTTTCAAAGTATCAGTCTTTTGGCTTATATGACATAATAACTTGGCTTTCTTACAAGTTTGTTTTAAATCCCTCTGAGTGAAGCTTTTATAAATAAAACTATATCCCATTTTTTTCCAGTAATGTAATTTGCTATTTTAATCATATAAATATTTAAAAAATTTATTTCTCAGCTTTATATTCTGGCCCACCAATGTGTCCTTTTCTGAGTAAGTCGCAATTACATGGTAACTTTTTAACTGTAAAAATGCCTTTTACCAAGTGGGAGCGTAGGTTGCACCTCATTACTGCTTTCCAGAATGTTTCAGGCTGTTTGCACAGATTTATTCTTTTTATCTTTCACATTTCTTATTGCCTCTATTTCCTTTTATATTTTCCTTCTGCTTGGTCCTTGACTCTCCTTTTGATTGTTTTCTCCTCACCTCCTAGCTTCTCTGTTTCCTCTTTGTTTTAGTCCCTCCAAGCTTAATTTTTCTATCAGCCTTTTTTCTTGAACTGTTCATCTTCGGTTAGCTCCTTTGGGGTGTCTCACCATCCTATCGGACAGCCTTATCCAAATTTATATTTATGATCCCAAAGTGACCTCCCTTCTCACCTCCACTGTGTGTGTCACACTACGGTGCCGTTAGACACCAGGAATTAACACCCAAGACATACGTGCTTTCGTCCTTTGTTCTATTGCCAGTCATTGCCCAATTCCCATGGATGAGTTTTCATGAGACACCTCCTTTCTCTCCTTCCTCTTCCATATTTCCTACCACTTTCATATTTTTAAAAAAGATTTTATTTATTTCTCTGAGAGAGAGAGAGCAAGCAAGCAAGCAGGAGTAATGGGAGAGGGGCAGAGGGAGAAGCAGACTCCCCTATGAGCAGGGAGCCCGACACGGTGCTTGATCCCAGGACCCTGAGGTCATGACCTGAGCCGAAGACGGACACTCATCTGACTGAGCCACCCGGGGGCCCCACCACTTTCATATTCTGGGTCGTACCACCTCACACCCAGATTGTTCAGACCCCTTTCCACCTGGCCCCTTTCTGTCCAGTTTATTTTGCATATGTCTGTGAGCTTCATCTAATCTAAAACTTTCTGTCAATACTGACTTTGAGCCGAGAGTCTCGTTCAGTCATTCATCATTTATCTCACAACTGTCAGAGTGCCCCTTACATGCCACACACACTTCTCAGTGCTGGGTGTGGATAAGTGAGCAAAACAGCAGGTGCTAGGGCGCCTGGGTGGCTCAGTCGGTTAAGCGACTGCCTTCGGCTCCGGTCATGATCCTGGAGTCCTGGGATCGAGTCCTGCATCAGGCTCCCTGCTCGGCAGGGAGTCTGCTTCTCCCTCTGACCCTCCCCCCTCTCATGCTCTCTCTATCTCATTCTCTCTCTCAAATAAATAAATAAAAAATTAAAAACAAAAAAAACAAAAAAAACCCAGCAGGTGCTAGTCCCTGCTCTCTGGGAGCTTACATTCTGCTCTCATGGTGGGTGGGGTTGAGGAGGGAGAGGGAGGAGACATACATGGAAACGGAACAAGGTAATTCTGGTTGGTGATAAATGCTATCGTGTGAGAGTGTGGTAGTATGGTGGGAGAACTGATTTAGGTTGGGTGCTCAGGGAGATTTCTCTGGGCAGGTTTTATTTGGGCTGAGACATGAGGACACCTGGGACCAATCAGTTTGGGAAAAATAGGAGAGAAGAAAATAAGTAGGTAAAAAAGATCGTGGAAAACATTTTAATGCATGGGAGGCTTTTCATGCCTTCCCAAAATTGACAAGTCAGTCTTTAAGATAACCATTGCATTCGAATAAGAACTCAATACTGATCACAGACATCTGGGGCATCATGGGGAGGAGGAAGGGATAGATTGTTTACAAATGGACCTGGGGAAATTAGTTAATGTATATAGTAGGTATGATTCTTTGCTCACTTAGCTGTTTCTTGGAGTCCATTCATGCCTGGGGATAGGGATCATGTAGCAAAATAAAACTGAGATGAGAAATTCCATCATTGGAGTGTTTTTTTTTTTTTTAATTTTAATTTTTAGACTTCTTAATCTGTAATTTCTATTAACTGTTCAGAAGCAGCAAAGACTTTGTTTTGACCAATTTATTTCTGAAATTTTCCAAAAGATCTCTTTACTGGAGTGCTGAGATAAGGAGCCACGTTTCTATATTGATGGCCAGAGTTTAAATCCCAGATCTGTCCTGACGTCTCAGGCTTCCACGTACTGGTCATAAGACTTAAGAGCTGGGTCTGGGCCAAGGCCTCCAGAGTGTGGCTAAATCTGGCAATCACCAGAAAGATAAGAAAGAGAACTGACTGGAAGCAGTTTGACAGTAAGAATAGGATAAAATAGCTTTGGATTTAGTTGTGTTCTTAAAGAAATGTAGGTTTTGTTTTGTTTTGTTTTGTTTTGTTTTTGGAGATTCCCAGTTTGTATATTGTTAAGTTCTTGATTTGGGCCTCTGAGAATCTAAGGTTTGACTGGACATTTGGGTTTTTTTAGGCACTATAATGAGCCATCATAGTGTCCATGTGAAATTATGTTAGTTGGTGATTCCCATGGCAATACAGGATTAAATTAACATTTAAAAATTTTATACAAGGAATTATTCATTCATTTTTAAAATTTGTGTCCATTATCCACTCTCTCACTGGTTGTATGGTTATGCACATGTTTGAATAAATCAGATGTTGTGTTAATGTAGTGGATTCTGTTATAGGCTTTGTAGGAAAACGTTTATCTTCTATGCCTCTGGGCTGCTTTAACAAAATTTGGCTTGGTACTCGGCTGTTCAGGGTAGGTATCCGGTGATGTGTATCCTTATTAAAGCTGCTTTTCTTTCTGGAATTCTACACAATTTCTCAAGCCATCTTACTGCAGACTGACAAGTCTATGGCATTTAAGGTGTTTGCTTAAATTCTTGACCTCTATACTTCCTCAGGTACTTCTTCAAATTTTTAATAGTCTGCGATTTTGTTTTTTTTTTGGAGGAAGGGATCTTCTTGTAACAATTCAGTTGTTCCAGGGGTGGGGAATCTAGTTACCTTGTATGGCATTATGGCAAAGGAGTACCCAATGGACAGATAATGATAATGTTAGAGCTTTTCACTCAGTAATGTAAAATAAACTATATAGACACATTTTAACTGAATCTGGAGCAAAGTGCTTTATGATGTTTTCTGTATTCCCAGAGGCATATGTTATTTACTGGCTTTACCTTTATTATTATTACTTTTGTGTAGTTTGCATGATTAACTTACCATTGTCAGAAGGACTAAAATGAATATTGATATTCAATATAGGTATATTGAAACAAATATCATGCTTAAAATGACAGCCCTCCAGTAAACATTCAGGACATACTGCAAGTAAAGCACCTTGCTAGGTGCTTTGTAAGATTCAGAAATAAATCAGATGTGTCTCCTGACATCAGGATCTTTGAAGTTGTCTGGGAGATTATAACCTTATGAAAAGGAACTTCCAAAGTGACCTGCAGAGGCTTTGCCTAGGAAGGAAGGGTCACATACACACGCTTCACTAAGGATGTTTTATCACCAGGGCCCCAAAGTTGAAATTTATTCCCTGGTTTAAAAAACTTTTTTAGTAACTCATGTAAGTAATGGTTATACTTGCTTAAGGGCTGTCCCTGATGTTTACGCTATTTTAAATCTTTTATTTGAACTTTTCTTGTATATGTTATTGTAAACTCCTATATTTATTTTCTCTCTAGTTTGCTACAGAATGGTCAGTTTGAAATTGTGACAGGTGGCTGGGTTATGCCTGATGAAGCTGCTCCACATTATTTTGCCTTAATTGACCAACTAATTGAAGGACATCAGTGGCTGGAAAAAAATCTAGGTATGTATTGACGTCTTTTTCCTTCATTTGGACTACTTTGGGCAATTAATTTTGGGGAACATGAGATGAGGCTCTATTTTATTTTTTTAAATAACTGATTTTCCCAGTATTTTTTTTATCCTTCATTAATTTATGATGTTTCCTCCATCATAAGCTAAGTTGCATAAATATAATGTGGTCACTTTTAGTGTCATCTACTTTGTAATCTATTATTTTGTGTACTGTTTTATTAATTTTTAGAATAATTTTCTTCTAACAGTATCCCATTGGGATTTTAATTTTATATTAGTTAAGACTGTTGGTTAGAAGAGGCAAAAACCTAATTTACTTGCCAAAGAAAAAGAAGAACAAAAGGAAGGTATTAGTTTTGTCATTGAGAATTCAAGAGGTACGGTAGGTTCAGGTAAAGTTGGATTATATTGTTTGGACACTATCTCTTTTGGCTCTGCTTGCTTGCTTGCTTATTTATTTATTTATGAGAGAGATAGAGGGTGGGGGAGGGGCAGAGGGAAAGGGAAAGAGAGAATCTGAAGCAGTCCCCATGCCCAGCATGGAGCCCTACTCGGGGCTTGATCTCACAACCCTGAGATCATAACCTCAGCTGAAATCAAGAATCGGATGTTCAGTCGACTGAGCCACCCAGGCTCCACTTGGCTCTGCTTATTTTTGCATGGCCTTAGTCTTCTCCTGGTTCTCTTCACATGGTGAGTAAGAGGGCCATAGGCAACTAGGATTCTCATCTTCCCAGTCTAATCAGTAGAAGTTTTTCTTAATGTCTTACCTAATTGTCTCACTTTGGATTAAGTGCATAACTCTGAGCCAGTTTCTGTGGCCAGAGGTGTAGGGGCTGAAATCATCAAGCCCTAGTCAGTTTATTGGAAATGGTCATGCGGGAGAGGGGTTTGTGGAAGGCATGGTCCGCTCTACTGGAACCATGTGAATAGGTCCTCCATGGGAAAGAGGGATCTTGTTACCACAAGACATGGGGAAGAGGACACTGCCCTGATAAAACCAGGTGTTCACTACAACTGGTAAGAACATGGGACTCATTTAAATCTTTGCAGTACCTAGTATTTGCATCCTGCAATGTGGTATGTAATTCTTTTCAAATATTTCATATCTGAGTACAATTTTGTAGCATTTAGGAAATCCAGGTCCCCAGACACCAGCCAAGGGCAAACCTTCCAAGCAAGACCTTTCTAAAGATAGCACTTTCAGACCTCCTGTGTTATCTCTTTTTTGTGTACAGGCGTGATATCTGCAGCTTATTCTAGTAACAACAACAATCACACCAATGATATGGCAAAAGAAAAAGTAAAGCAAATATGTTAATAATTGGTAAATCTGGTGGAGGAGTTTATGGGAGTTCTTCATATTTTTCTTAAACCTTTTCTTTTAAGTTTGAATTATTCCAAAATATAAAGAAAGAATGAATGGGGATGGCAGGGATTTTATCTCTAACACAGAAAAAAATTTTAAATAGGAAAAAAATAGAAATGCCAAGAAGTAAGTCCAATAAAAAACATCTATCCTTACCACACAGATACTGTGGAATTGTTTCACTGTGTTTAAACTGTGTAAAAACAATGTAGTTTATGCTAATCACAGATGCTACTGTGATCATGTATTGAGTTCTTTTCCTTCTGGAAGTCCAGAATCTTAATATGTACTGCTAGGCTGAGGATGCCTCCATGACCAGCCCCCAACAAATACCCTGAACGCTGAGTCTCTTCAGGAGCTTTCTTGTTTGATAGCATTTCACTTTTGTCACAGTTGTTTCAGTTATCACAACATGGAGGGATTGAACCCATCCTTTGTGACTCCATAGGGAAAGGACTGTTAGAAGCTTGTGCTTGGTTTCCCGTGGACACTGTGCCCCCTGTGCCTTTTCCCTTTGTGGATTTTGCATTGTGTCCTTTCACTGTAATAAGTCATAGCTGTGAGTATGACCATATGCCGAGTCCTGTACATTTTCTTAACAGCTCACTAAATGGGGGTGGCAGACTTAGGGACCCCCTACACAGTGCCACTTTTCTTAAATAATTATGTTCTAAACCAGGAATATTTCTTTTATAAACTTCAGTTTGGGGATTTTTTTCTTTATGTTTAGCTTTTATTGACATATAAGTTCTATGCAGTGCAACATGCAAATCTTAACTATAGAGTTCAAGTTTTGGCAAATATATATACCCAGTTAAGCCACTTTTTCATCACCCCCGAAAGTTCCCTCATCCTCCTCAACTCTCCTGCAGCCAACTGCTCTCTGATTTCTATCACTGTAGATTATTTTTGCCTGTTTCAGAACTTCATATATATGGACTGACTCCTTTGGATCCATCAGTTTTTGCTCAGCATAAATTTTCTTCTTAAAATTGTGTTGTCTCCAATATCATAAAATTTATCCACCTAAAGTATACAACTCAGTAGTTTTTAGTCTGTTCACAGAGTTGTGCAACCGTTGCCACCCTCTATTAGAACATTTTCAACATCCCCAAAAGAAATCTCTTACCCATTAATAGTCACACTCCTTTCTTGACTCCACCCTTCCCTGCCCCAGGCCCATGCCACCACAAATCTACTTTTTTTTTTTTTTTAAGATGTATTCATGTATTTTAGAGACAGGAGAGAGTGTGGGGGGGGGGCAGAGGAAGGGCGAAGGGAGAGAGAGAATCCAAGTAAGACTCCCCTCTGAGTACAGAGCCTGACATGGGGCTCAATCTCAGGACCCTAAGATCATGACCTGAGCCTAAATAAGAGTTGGACGCTTAACCGACTAATCACACAGGAGCCCTCTCACCTGCTTTTTGTGTGGATGGATTTGACTCTTCTGGACATTTTACATACACCGAATCATACAATATGGCCTTTGTAACTGGCTTCTTTTACTTGGCACGATGTTTTCAAGTTCATTCATGTTGTAGCATGTATCAGTGCTTCATTCCTTTTTATAGCTGAATAATACTATTTTGTTTGGAAAGACCACAGTTGTTTCTCCTTTTTTCAGTTGCTAGACATTTAGAGTGTTCCCCTTTTTGGCTACTGTGAATAATGCTGCTATACACACTTGTGTAAGGTTTTGTTTGTTTGTTTGTTTTTTTGTTTTTTTTTTCCCCAGCAAATATATTTTTTTAATTTAAATTCAGTTAGTTAACATATAGTGTATTATTAGTTTCAGGGGTAGAATTTAGTGATTCATCACTTGCATATAACACCCAGTGCTCATCACATCAAGTGCCCTCCTTAATGACCACTGTCCAATTACCCCATCCCCCTACCCCACACTAGCGTAAGTTTTCGTGAGGACATATGTTTTCATTTCTTCTGAGTTTATACCTAGGAATGGAATTGCTGGGTCATATGGTAGCTCTGTGTTTAGCATTTTGAGGAGCTGCCAAATTGTTTTCCATAATGGCTGCACCATTTTACATTCCCCCCCAGCAATGTATGAGATTTCTATTTCCTCTACATGTGCAACATTTGTTATTGTCTTTTTTATTTTAGCCATGCTAGTGTGTATGAAATGGTCCCTCATTGTGGCTTTGACTTGCATTTCCCTAAAGACTAATGATGTTAAACGTTTTTTCATGTGTGTATTGGCTATTTATATATCTTCTTTGGAGAAATGTCTGTTCAAATTATTTGGCTATTTTTACATTTGGGTTCTTTGTCTTTTTATTGTTGACTTGTAAGAGTTCTTTGTATATTCTTGACGCTAGTTTCTTGTCAGACAATGATTTGCCAATACTTTTTTCCATTCTGTGGGTTGTTTTTCAGTTTCATGAAGGTGTCCTCTGATGCACAAAAGCTTTGATTTTGATGAAGTCCATTTTAGTTTTTCTTTTGTCACTTGTGTTTTGATGTCACAGCTAAGAAACCATTGTCTCACCTAAGGTCATAGGATTTACTTTGTGGTTTTTACCTAGGAACTTTATGGTTTTTAGCTCTTACATTTAGATAATGGACACATTTGAGAAATGGAATATCTTTTTGTAGCTTTGGCTGCATTTTGTAAATTCGTGTTCTGTTTTGTTTTTTAAGCAATTTAGAACAACAGCATGTTGTTTTGGATACTTTATATTTGGTCATGGAATGCTTTTTAAATTGTTCTGTTTTTTGTTAATTTCTGCTTTTGTGACCTCTGTTATGCAAATATGATCATTATAAACCTTTTGAAGTTTGAGTTATTAAGATTATCTTTTGCCCAAAATATCATAAACTTTTTGAAGTTTGAGTTACCAACATTGTCTTTTGCCCAAAATACCTGTTTTTCTAACTGTTCCCTGACTTTTCTTAAGCTTTAATATTAAATGTACTTGGAATAATCCAGTGACTAATTATATTATTCATATTACTTCTGTTCTAATTTTTAAGTCTGTTAGGTTTGTCAAAAATTGAGGGGTGTATTTTATTCTTTTTAATGACCATTTCTTGTCATTTTTCCTAACAATTTTTACTTTATTATGTATTTTGATAATCTTGCTTGATGGCACAAAATCTTTTTCATGATCTTTCCTGGTATTATTGGCAAACATACCCTTTATAAAACTTTGGCGCTTTTTTATGCTGCGCTTTTACCTAAATTTGCCCCTTACCCCTTTTAAAACAGTACTTACCATACCAAGGAAAACCCTAGTGGGATACTGGGGTCCTTTCTAGGTCTCTGCCTAGCTCTCACCTCCTTTCATGTCAGAGTTTTAAAAAATATGGTTTACATTCTTCCTTTTCTGTATCATCACCTCCCAGGGACTCTTAAGTCCACTGCAGCTAGGTTGCTGCTCCTGTGGATCATGTGAGTTTGATAGGGAAAACATCCCTAACGTTGCTAAAATCTGACATCACTGTAGAATTTGATGGTGATTTTTACTCTCACTTGTAAGCTAATTCCGCCCTTGTTATTTGGGACATTGCAATCCTTTATTATTTTATAACTTAATTTTGATATAATTTCAAACTTATAAAAAGCTGCATGACAGCTGGGAAGG